GCTTTAGGACACTGCCTGGTGGTATGACCATACTCTCCACAAGTGTAACAACTACCCTGGAAAGTACCAAATGGCCTCCTCTGTCGGTTAGCCTATGGCTGACCCTGTCTTGCCTGTGGTCCCCCATTCTGTTGCCTCTGAATAGGTGCCCCATTCCGGTGAGCATCTGAACCACCTTTGTGCTTCTTCCAAGGTTGTTGTCCTTGGAACTTGCCTTTGTCATTCTGCCGGTGACCATTGCCATTCCCCTTTTCAGCTGACTGACTAGTAGAGTCTTTGTCTCCCCGCTTCTCACTACGAGCCTGTCTGATGTCCACAGTCAACTGATACTGTTGTAGAGCGGCGTCTACCACCTGAGCATAGGTAGTATAGGCTGGACTACCTGTAATAGCTCTCTTGATAGACCACATCAGTCCCTTGACAAAACTGTTGCGCTTCTTCTCCTCTGTATCCACCTCCTCCGGTGCAAAGAGAGACAAGCGTGTGAACTGCTGCTCATACTCCGCCACTGTCATGTTTCCCTGCTGCAGACTTAGAAACTCGGTCTTCATAGCTGCCCTGACTGCATAGGGAAAATATTTCTCATCAAAGCGAGCACTGAACTCATCATAAGACAATGTCATCCTCTCCTCTGAGGTGGTAACTGACTCCCACCACTGTAGTGCATCCCCAACTAGCTTGAAAGTAGCAAGTATCTGCTTCTGAACCTCCGTGCACTGAGCCAAATGAAGATGACGCTCAATGTCCTGTTTCCACTGGTGAGCTGCTCTCGCATCGGTTGAGCCTGAGAACACAGGTGGACTCCCCTTTGTGAAAGAGCTCCTAGCTTTTCCCCAACAATCCGTCTGAACCACTGGTGCTGGTACAGGTGCCGGCTGTACCTGAGGCTGATTCCGAAGTGCAGCTGTTACCCCAGCCTCTATAGCCCGAGCAACGAGGTCATTGAGGTGTGGAGGAATCTCTAGATCTCTGACCTGGTCCAGAGTCTGTTGAACATTCTCCTGTTCCTCCTGAAACTGATCCATGTCATCATGAAACCCAAGCCTTTGCTGCTCTTCCTCCATTTACTGACGCCGTAGGAGATATTGTTGCCTACGTGCCGTTCTCCTTTACTTCCTAGTTCCTTGCATGTTCTGTCCATTTCTAGCATTAACCATCTGTTAACACGAAAAGACAGATGTCAATACCCTTTCTATATGAACCATAAGGAATAAAATGAATCCTAACTTAAGCTCTATTCAAGAGAAAACGCTACACAGAAGACTTAATACGAAAACATCCTAGAGACACTTGAACCTGGAGTGCTCTGATACCAACTGAGATACCCCTCGGATCCGAGACACGGGTTGATCAGGCCCAGGCCCAAACCCGAGAGAATATCAAACAATTAATATTTTATAATGAACACGGAATACAAAATAAATTAAGAAATGAAATTAAAGCTGGAAGGAACTAAAAATAGAATCCGCAAAATATTATAATTATTAAAATCCATCAAACCCAAACTCCAAAACTCCATCAGTTTACAACTTGGGAATCCATCTCTAGTGGACCCCTATTAAACATCCAAACGGAAAATAGAACAACTGTAATAAACGTCCAGAAATAAAACTATAGAGAGAGCCCTACATCGTCGGAAGAGTGAATAGAGACCTCTGCTCAGCACGAACACGTCTAAGCCTGGAACTGTCGTGTACCTGAAAAATAGAAGTGGGTCAGGCCCACGCGCAAGTTCCTATACTACTACAATCCAAACAGAGGCCCGATACGCATGTACATCCTAAACAATTCAACAATAGCTAATAGTCCGTAAATATATATATATAGTCACACTAAAGGACTCTCACTGGACTACAGGCCGGTCTCAACCTGAATAGAGGTAACATGCTAAAACGTACACGAAGTGGGCATATGTACCTATACCTAAACAGGGTACACCTCCAACCATCGTAGCCAGCTACACATCCCGATGCATATACGCTCCCTAGCCATCGGTCCTGAGGCTCAAGCTCATACCGAGGCACCATAACAGTACATATATAAAATCCATCCAAAATCCCTAGTATTGCCGCTCAACAAGTAGTTGCCATGACAATACAAATCCACGGGACTTAACTTTTAGTTAATCCCATCCTTATTCCAAGTAGGTGGGTAATGGTATTGTTTTAAAAACCAAACCCATCCTTAGTATGCCACCGTCCCATACCGGTGCCTACTTTCCAATCCTCCAGTAGTCAATAATACCAATAAATCAAGTATATATCAACAAAATTCCAACATCCAACATTCAATGTTAGCAGTGATAAAATAAGCATTGATAAACAGGGTCACAACAACAACATATACATGCCCAATTTAAGTTGTTCCCTTTAGTCTGATATAAAGACAGAATTAATTAAAACTTCCATTTAACACCTTACAAATGACATACAGATATGTAGGGTATGTATCACAAAATCCTAACCTCCACAGTTGATACTAACTGTGATAATGTAAGCATCAAAACAATATTCACAGTATGTATGTATACATGCTCAAATTATAGTGTTCCACAAAACCGATCTAGTGTTAAACTCAAATCCTCCTAGTATTTAAGTTCCAACAGTTGCTATTACAGAAGTTAAGATAGCTATCATCTAGACCCATCCTTCCAATAATTTATACTAGCAGTGGTAAGGAAAAATGTGAACCACAGAACCACAATGCATCCACAAACATGCTTAGTCTAGGTTGAACAATCATACAACACTACTGTAACTACCAGTTTCATAGCAAAACAGATATCATTTTAGTTTGGTTTAATCTTCATTAATCCTGGAATCATTTAAGAGTGCAAAGAGTATGAAGCCTAAGGGAAAGAGTAAGGATAGAATCTTGCCTCAGAAACTTTTGTTCAAAGTTTCAACGTCGTCTTCTTAAAAAATCCCGGCGAGTTCCAAAACCCGGTTACTGTTCATGGGTACGAAATACTATTCCCGAACTCAAAATCTGATCTCCACCGTTCAGATTGTGCGACACTGAGTCATGAACCTATCCTCTAAATTTCAGCTCGATCGCACCACGTACGAAGCAGGATCGGATGTTTGATGAAATCTGGGCAGAATGGAAAAAAAAAAAAAACCTGTGCGACCCGGTTACTGTTCACGAGTACGAATCATTGTTCCCGAGATCAAACTCTGATCTCCACCGTTCAGATTGTGCGTCACTGAGTCATGAACCTCTCCTCCAAAATTCAGCTCGATCGGACCACGGACGAAGCGGGATCGGAGCTTTGATCAAACCTTGGCAGAATGTGAAAAACTGCGTTTTTCCTTCTCCACTTCCACAAAACGTGTGCTTTGTTTAAAAAAAACCCTACACAGACGTTTACCTTATACTTATAGAGTTTTCCTAAACCCTAGGTTCATTTAAGTCCAACTCACAATCCATTAACATAGAAACCTATGACGGCTATAATATAAAACCCTAATTTATACTGTAATTAAAACCCTAGTTAGATGTATTTACCTATTTACCCTATTCACCATTAAATACTTAACAAATAATTTAATTGAACAAAATAATAATTAGTAAACCCAATTAAACCAAATAAGACACACATAAAATAAGACACATATAGAATAATTAAACCAATTACACTTAAACCATTAATGCCACTTAAATAATTAAAACACTAACAAGTAATTCCAATCAAATAACTAAAAATAAATATCATTTAAATAAATTAAATCACCACAAAAGAAAACAATTAAGCACCTAATAAAAAAAATAATGACACATAATCAAATAAAATGCACTTAAATAATAAATTAAATACTATTAAATACCAGGAATATCCTTTTTAGAATTAGGGGTATTACACATTCACACATATATGTGTGATACAAATATACTGAGAGAGGAGTATGAATCCAACGAGAGAGGTGCATTTCTATCATATCATCTTACGCATCTGCATGAGTTAAATGTCTCTATCCAAATTTCATATTCCTATGGTGAAGTAATAATCAGCTTTTTTATTTATTTTTTATTTTTTTTATGAGGCCTGTCCACAAACAACAAAAAGCAAAATAAATGAGAGCTTTGAATTGACTTGAATGCATAGCTCAAGTTAACAATTTATTGTGTACAGATTGCTTAACAGAGACCAAGACTACTCAATAATTGGTACATAAATGGAATTATATAATTGGGACATAAATGGAATTACATTTTTGTATGTGGATTTGTGAAGGGTATTTTGGGTATTAAAAATGTACAATTTACTCTACTATCCTTTCTCTCCCTATTTTCTCAATTTGGGAGAGAGAGCATATAAGGGATAGGGAGAGAGAGCATATAAGTTATCCCTCCCTATCTCTCCCTATCCTTTCTTTTCTCTCTATTTAAGCTACCCAAACACACTCTCACATTATCCTCTCTTTTCTTTTCTCTCCCTATCCCTCCAAATCAACCCTACCAAACACACCCTTAAAGATATAGCCAAGTGGAAATGTAAGAAAATTGCTTATTAGATCAACGAAATCTTCATTTGCTTCAGCATACAACACCCTCTTGTTAGATTTGTTGACAATAAGCTTCAAAGTCATCTTTGTAGAATTCAAAACCGGTCTTTTTGGACCATGTTTTTTTTATGTAAAGACTTCCTCCACTGTCAATTGATTTCAAGAAGGCCTGAGAGAAAGGAGCTTTCGATGTTAATGAACATATGAGCAGTTTTAGAACCTGGGATAAAGAGAGAGCAGTAATTTAATTTTCTTTTTATAAAAACACCAAAGAGAGAAACTAGTTAATCTGTTGATTAACTCATCCCTTCCCATCTTTATAGTCCTCTCTAATATTGTGTGTCCATGCATAGTTTGCAGCTCATTAAGCAGGGCTAAGCCAGTCATAGTAGACATGAGCATCATTTGGAAATTATCTACTATCATAAAGCATGAAGAAGTTTTCACAAAAACTGTTGTATTTTGAGAAGCAGAGGTGGGATGTGATAATCTTACCACATTACTCATGGTACTCCCACAACGGTAACGAGCAGTCTTAGATGTACTCAAAGGGCAATCTGGATTGTCACAGACATAGTACTCATTAGAATTACTATAAACAAGATTCAATTTTAGGTTCTTGCAGTACAATTCTGCAGAACTTTGGGGATGAAGCAGCATCTCCGTGCACTTCACACTTTGAAGATGTTCCTCCTCAAGATTCTCAACACTTTCATATAAGTTGTTGAGGCAACTAAATGGCTCTTTTGGCGGGTGCTCACGAGTGAGGCTAATAATAATTCCAAGAGGCATGGTCATGAAGTTGAAGAGAACATCAATAAAATCCTTATTGGGCTTGGCTAAAATAACTCTATTTTTCTCATTAACAACCAGGACCTTCAGACTTATACTTTGTGAAGCTTCAGCAGCCATAGATCTAATGGAAAATAGGTTTTCTATGCAAAATTTGGCTAATATTTTAAACAATTGCCCCCTGCATCAACTATCGCATAAAATGTTTGAAGTTGTTTATCACACAACATGATCAAAGCATGCAAATGTTTAGGAATATAAAACATTTTTATCAGTTGATCACAATAAACAATGAACCAGTCCCAAGCACCCATTCAAGCGTTGATAAAATTTGATAAAAGAAATTGTTATGGAAACATTTTTATACGTTTGCCTACATGATCAATAGATATATGCTTCCCCCCAACCTCTAGTTACTAAGTTCATCAACAAAATTAGTCATGAAATAGCCCCTTATATATACAAATATGTTAGAACTCAGAATCGGTGGGCTCTTGGACTAGGTTTAAAAGTTGAGAAATGCAAGTCGAATGGACAAATGATCTTGCTACATACTCAGGACATGTTTGGTTTAATTTTTTCAAAACATCTGGAGAAACTAAACCAAACCTTATATTGTTGATAACAGCCTTACCAATAAAATTCCAATTAAGAGGTTAACATTACTTCAGAAATAGGATGAATTGATATATATTCATTCATATATATGTCAGAACTCAGAATCTCTTCTTTTTATTTTCTTGCTCGCATGCAATTCCAAGCCCCAAAACCAAAATCGACCGATTGTTTTGATACTACAAGTATGTATATGAACATTAAATTTACACGCATATATATGAAACCAAGGGTTTGACATTAGAGGTATACATTATACATATATACATACATATAGATATAAATGAAATAAAGAAATGTACTGGTAAATCTGAAATTGCTCTAATTGCTCTTGTAGTTTCAATTGCTCGTGTATGTGTGAGAAAAAGAATAGGGGGGGGGGGGGAGATCCTTCCCAGAGGTGAGAAATGAGAGAAGCATGAGGCATTTAGCGGGGATAGAGAGGGAGAAAATGACGAGAAAATGGACATCAATTTGGTGACGTGGCAGATCCCATGCAGTACTTTCTGTGTAATTCAAGAGCAGCATGGGGCATTGTACCTCATTAATTACAATATTGTATTTAGATATAATATGTTACATATTTGTACAATTTCAAAATAAACTTGTTGTCAGAGTGTGTGCACCTATATTCAATCGCGTGTGTATGTGTGTGTAAGAGAGAAAGGGAGATGCTTCCTGAAGGTGAGAAATGGGAGAAGGGTGAGGGTTTTAGCGGGGATAAAGAAGGAGAAAATGACGCAAAAGTGGACATCAATTTGGTGACGTGGTAAATCCCGTGCGGTACTTTCCGTGCAATTAAAGAGTAGTATGGGGCATTGTACCTTATTGATTACAATATTGTATTTAGATATAATATGTTACATATTTGTACATTTTCAAAATAAACTACTTGTCGGAGTGTGTGCACCTATATTCAATCGCGTGTGTGTATGAGAAAGAGAGAGGGGGAGATGCCTCATGAAAGTGATAAATGAGAGAAATATGAGGGTTTTAGCGGGGGATAAAGAGGGAAAAAAGGACGCGAAAGTGGGCAGGTGATGAGCTAGATCCCATGTGGTACACTTTTGTATATACTTTCTGTGTAATTCAAGAGCCAAAACATGGGGCATTTTAAAACATAATACTCGTGCATCCCTCATGTGTGATCCAAACTTGCACATGGGGAAGTAGACACAATGGGTATATCAAGTGTTTCTGTAGAGCAAATTTGATGAATATAAACATACTCCAACACCCTCTGCGTACGGTGTGATCTCCTCTGGTCAAAATAGAGTCATAAACCTAAGACGCCAAAGTTAATTTTTTCCATTTTTTTTTTTAAGTATTCAAAAGCAAATGTAATTTTCTTTTTAGTGAAAAGTTGTGATTTAGTAGGGCTAATGGATTTTTGAGTGTATAGTTTCTAGTATTGTCTTCAATGAACTCCATGAGCTAAACTTGGAAATTGGCACACAATAATGTTCTCTATTTATTGTTGTTAATGGTGTATTACGTAGATTATTGTGCTAGTCAATACACAGATATAAGTGATCAAATTCTAGTTTAAGGCACCGTGATGATGGTGCTTGCCAATACACAGATATAAGTGATCTTCCTAGAAGCTTAATACTTTAAATAGATATAAAACAGTGAATTTACCTCGTCCCCACCAATGGTTACCTCCCGTTCCATAATGTCAATGAGGGGTACCTTCATTCTTTGGATAAGAGAGATGGATGAGATTAGAGATAAGGGTGTTATGGTCAAATTATCGGTCACCGTGAACAAGGATGGTCCCTTCATGAATCATTTGCCAGTATAGTTTTCCCTGAAGAAGACTGCACACGTTTTGCAGTAAAAAGGGAAGTAGCACACGACAATGATGGATAAGAAGCTTCCTCGATGGGAATGAGTTGTTTGTTCCAAGCAAGACCAGGAGCAAGCTTTGGATCAACTAAAATTGCCTTCATCTCCTTAGATTTTAAGAATTCTTCAACATCAAAATCTTATATGCTCTTGTATAAATTATACAAGCATCCACTTAGGGACAACCATGGAAATTCCTTAAAGATATAGCCAAGTGGAAATGTAAGAAAATTGCTTATTAGATCAACAAAATCTTCATTTGCTTCTGCATATAACACCCACTTATTAGATTTGTTGACAATAAGCTTCAAAGTCATCTTTGTAGAATTCAAAATCGGTCTTCTTGGACCAGGTTTTTTATATAAAGACCTCCTCCTCTGTCAATTGATTTCAAGAAGGTCTGAGAGAAAGGAGTTTTTGATGTTAATGAACATATGAACAGTTTTAGAACCTGAGATAAAGAGAGAGCATTAATTTAATTTTCTTTTTATAAAAACACCAAAGAGAGAAACTAGTTAACCTGTTGATTACCTCAACCCTTCCCATCTCTATAGTCCTCTCTAATAATGTGTGTCCATATATAGTTTGAAGCTCATTAAGCAGGGCTAAGCCAGTCATAGTAGACATGGGCATCACTTGGAAATTATCTGCTATCATGAAGCGTGAAAAAGGTTACACAAAAACTGTGGTATCTTGAGGAGTAGAGGTGGGATTTGATAATCTTACCACATTACTCATGGTACTCCCACAACGGCAACGAGCAATCTTATAAGCACTCAAAGGGCACTCTGGATTGTCACAGACATAGTACCCATTAGAATTACTATTAACAAGATTCAATTTTAGGTTTTTGCAGGACAATTCTACTGAACTTTGGAAATGAAGCAGCATCTCCTTACACTTCACACTTTGAAGATGTTTCTCCTCATGATTCTCAACACTTTCATATAAGTTGTTGAAGCAACCAAATGACTCTTTTGGCGGGTGCTCACGGGTGAGGCTAATAATAATTCCAAGAGGCATGGTCATGAAGCTGAAGAGAACATCAACAAAATCCTTATTGGGCTCAGCAAAAATAACTCTATTTTTCTCATTAACAACCTGGACCTTCAAACTTATACTTTGTGAATCTTCAGCAGCCATAGATCTTATGAAAAATAGGTTTTCTATGCAAAATCTGGCTAATATTTTAAGCAATTGCCCCCTGCATCAACTATCACATAAAATGTTAGAAGTTGTTTATCACATAAAATGATCAAAGCATTCACATGTTTAGGAATATAAAACATTTTTATCAGATGATCACAATGAACAATGAACTAGTCCCAAGCACCCATTCAAGCGTTGATAAAATTTGATAAAAGAAAATTGTTATTGAAACATTTTTATACCTTTTCCTACATGATCAATAGATATATACTTCCCCCCAACCTCCAGTTACTAAGTTCATCAACAAAATTAGTCATGAAACAGCCCCTTATATTGTTGATTACAGCTCTGCCAATAAAATTCCAATGGAGAGTTTAATATTGCCTTAGAAATAGGATGAATTAATATACACACACAAATATGTTAAAACTCATAATCGGTGGGCTCTTGGACTAGGTTTTGGAGTTGAGAAATACAAGTCGAATGGACTAATGATCTTGCTACATACTTAGGACATGTTAGGTTAAAGTTTTTCAAAACTTCTAGAGATACTGAGCCAAACCTTATATTGTTGAATACAGACTTACTAATAACATTCCAATTAAGAGATTAACATTGTTTCAAAAATAGGATGAATATATATATACATTCATATATATGTCAGAATTCAGAATCTCCTTTTTTTTATTTTCTTCCTCGCATGCAATTCTGAGCCCCCAAAACCAAAAACGACCGATTGTTTTGATACTACAAGTATGTATATGAACACTAAAATTATATATATAAAACCATAGGTTTGACATTAGAGGTATACATTATACATATTTACATACATATAGATAAAAATGAAAAAGAGAAATGTACTGGTAAATCTGAAATTGCTCTGATTGCTTTCGTAGGTTCAATACATGAGCCCGGTTAAAAACTCCAATCTAACCCAACCCAAATCGAATCGAATAGTAATTCACATGGATTTAGGAGAGGCCTACTATATTTGTGCACAAGCTAAAATTTGAAAAATGAATATTTTTTGTAAGTTTCATGTGTGTGTGTGAGAGAGAGAGAAAGGGGGAGATGCTTCTCGGAGGTGAGAAATGAGAGAAGTGTTAGGGTTTTAGCCTGGATAAAGAGGGAGAAAATGACGCAAAAGTGGACATCAATTTGGTGACGTGGCAGATCCCGTGTGGTACTTTCCGTACAATTCAAGAGCAGCATGGGGCATTATACCTCATTGGTTACAATATTGTATTTAGATATAATATGTTACATATTTAAATATTTTAAAAATAAACTTATTGTCGAAGTGTGTGCACTTATATTCAATCGCGTGTGTGTATGAGAGAGAGGGGGGGGGAGATGCTTCCCCAAGGTGAGAAATAGGATAATGTGAAGGTTTTAGCGAGGGATAGAGAGGGAGAAAAGGACGCGACAGTGGACAGGTGACGAGCCAGATCCCGTGCGGTACACTTTCTTATATATTTGACGTGCAATTCAAGAGCCAAAAGATGGGGCATTTTATAATAAAATGTGACAATTCTGTGGATATTGTATACAAAATATATGTTAAGTAGGCTAATTAAAAATTCAGACATACTTCAAGAATATTTTTTACATTTTAAATTAAAATATAAAGTGAGATATTATTAAATCTGAAATTGCTCTGATTGTTCTTGTAGGTTCAATTATGTGTGTATGTGTATGTGTGTGTGTGTGAGTGAGAGAGAGGGGGGGAAGATGTTTCCCGGAGTTGAGAAATGAGAGAAGTGTGAGGGTTTTAGCGGGCGATTGAGGGAGAGAAAAGGACGCGAAAGTGGATAGGTGACGAGCCTGATTCCCTACGGTACACTTTTGTATATACTTTCTGTGCAATTCAAAAGCCAAAGCATGGGGCATTTTATAATAAAATGTGACAATTCTGTGGATATTGTACACAAAATATATGTTGAGTGGGCTAATTATAAATTCAGACATAATTCAAGAATATTTTTTACATTTTACCTTAAAATATAAAGTGAGATATCATTAAATCTGAAATTGCTCTTATTGCTCTTGTAGGTTCAATTGTTTGTGTTTGTGTGTATGTGTGTGAGAAGGGGGGAGATGCTTCCTGAACGTGAGAAATGAGAGAAGTGTGAGGGTTTTAGTGGAGGATTGAGAGGGAGAAAAGGACGCGAAAGTGGACAAGTGACGAGTTTGATCCCGTGCGGTGCACTTTCATATATATTTTCCATGCAATTCCAGAGCCAAAACATGGGGCATTTTATGATAAAATTGACAATTCTGTGGATATTGTACACAAAATATATGTTAAATGGGCTAATTATAAATTCTGACATAATTCAAGAATATTTTTTACATTTTACCTTAAAACATAAAGTGAGATATCATTAAATCTGAAATTGCTCTGATTGCTCTAGTAGGTTCAATCGTGTATACGAGAGAGAGATGGAGGAGATGTTTCCCGGAGGTGAGAAAGTGTGAGGGTTTTAGCTGGGGACTGAGAGGGAGAAAAGGACGTGAAAATGGACAAGTAACGAGCTTGATCTCGTGCGGTACACTTTCGTATATACTTTCTGTACAATTCAAGAGCCAAAGCATAGGGTATTTTATAATAAAATGTGACAATTCTTTGAATATTGTACACAAAATATATGTTAAGTGGGCTAATTATAAATTTGGACATAATTGAAGAATATTTTTTACATTTTACTTTAAAATATGAAGTGAGATATTATTAAATCTAAAAATTGCTCTGATTGCTCTCGTAGCTTCAATCGTGTTTGTGTGTGTGAGAGAAAGAGGGGGGGAGATGTTTCCCGTAGGTGAGAAATGAGAGAAGTATGAGGGTTTTAGCGGGAAGTTCATTGATAATTATTATAGTGACACCAGTTCGTTCTTCATTTCCTATGACATAGTGCAATGTTTATATATTGTAAGGGACAATGTCTCTAAACTAATGAAGTTCATTGATCTTCCCAAAGTCCTCAGAAAATTTCTCATAAATGTTACTAGTCTTCTAGATGCCCACCATACAAAACTTGGACTTGCTGTAGTAAACAAAAATTAAAGAGAGATTTAACTTATAGACAAATTCACATCAAAAGGTAAGTAAAAACCTATAAATGAGAAAACTTCATAAAAATTCCGAGAAGGAAAAAGATGAATATTATTTAAGACCATTAGAGCTAACATCACAGAATAAATATATTGCCTCTAATCATAAATACAGGTGCACCTGTAGGAAAACAGGAAACTCAAAATTATCTCCAATGGTATGCATACACTCAAAACTATCCCTTTTAGCATGTTTGTATGTACCTTGTTACAGAAATTCCCAACAAATGCATTTAGCTAGAAGAGCTACTAAAATTCATTCCTCAATTCCTGTGGGAGTCGTCATTGAATTATATCATTTGCTCATATTATGCAGTACCTTGTAGTAACAATTATCCAGCCAAAGTTTTCTTCTCCAATACTCCTAAGAGCACTAGGCACCAGTCAAGAAAATGGGCAACATTAGCCTAGTTTCTAATGGTGTTGAATTGGAAATGTCCATTAGTATATTTGAATTAGCACTTCCTCTTTTATTGTGTGTTCTGTAAGCCTAGTTTATGTCTGGAGGTTTTCTTTTTCTTCTTTCATTGCCGTCATTTTTAAATATGTTTTCTATTATAATATTTTCAACTCTTTCAAAAAAAAAAAAAAAAAAAATTGACGAAGAAATATCTAATTGTTGAAACTAGCTGCTTATTAGGTTTAATTTTCTGGGTTTACCTTGTAATGGAAATTTTATATTGATTATTTTGTGAGCCTTCGTTTGTAATGATACTCTGACTCTCTTCATTGACCTCACTTTTATTTTTCTTCTCTCTTTTGAAAAGAATTTGGATTAGTGTTTTTTACATGGTTATTAGCTCTGCTTGAGTGCTTGAAGTTCATTTCATCTTGTCTGCTTGATGTTGCTAGGATTCCTGGCTGATTACCTTTTCGTGTAATTCATTACATCACCACTGCTTGAAATTATCTCCTAGAATTTTTATGTTTATGTTTATGTCACCTTTTGATACTCGTCGCTGCAACTGTTTTTCATTTTCCTTTTCTTTTATGGGGTGTTTATTGTGCTAATTAGTATTTGAGCATATTTTCTTTTCTCATTTAAACTTAGTGTTCAAATTTAATTGAGAATTTGGCTATGGAAATTCTCTTTCATGTCTCAATTTCATAAAAATGATAGAACTTGGACTCTTTTTGACTGTTCATGATGTTTACGGTTGGACGAGTAGCTAGATTTCTGTTTCCCAAATCCTTAGTCTTGTAAAAATAGAGTAATTAATTTTGGACTTTAACCTTTTATATAGCTGAAAATTTTCAATTTCTTGCATTTGGACTAGAAATTTAAAAAATTGAGTCCATTTTCACCGCTGCTCTTTCACATTACTCCAGAATCTCCTTCCATTCTAAAAGTCAGATATACCACCCAAATGTTGGACACGAAGCATTCTATTTAATTTATTTTCTATGCATCCATTATTCTCTTCTTCTTCTTCTTCTTCTTCTTCTTCTTTTTTTAATTTATTTTTTATGCAGGACAACATAAAAGAACTTAAAAAAACTTACTCTGACTCGCCTATTGTCAGTTCCAATGATTTGTTCTCCGTTGTGAGGGGAGAAGAGAGAACTAGTCGTGTGCGGATGCTTGGCTTCGGGCCTCCACCAAGCGATGTTTGGGGCCCTCTCTTAGTAAAGCTGAACTGATTAATAATGCCAAAAAATCTGATAAAGAGGCACGTGCTGCATGTGTAGAGTTGCAGGAGACCATTTCAAAAATGCAAACCGATTATGACAAGAAGATGGAAAATTTACGAGCCAATTATAACGACAAGTTGGAAAATTTACAACAACAGGTGGCTATGTTAATGCAGATGCAACAACAAAATTGTAGTGGACAGGTAAATTTATTATTAGTTTTAGTCTTTACTAAATATATGTTTACT